AAAAAAAAATCCAGGTTCATGTGATGTTTAAAAGAGACAGTTTCATTTAAAAAGATGGAGATTTTATAGCCAGGCATTGTGGTGGGTGCCTGTAGGTACTTGGGAGGCTGAGGTAAGAGAATCGCTTGAGCCCAAGAGTTTGAGGTTGCTGTGAGCTGTGATGCTATAGCACTCTACCATGTGTGACACAGTGAGACTCTGTCTCAAATAAAAAAAAAAAAAGAAAAAAAGGAAGAAAACAATAATAAAAAGGAAGAAAGGGAAGGAGAAGATAAAAGATAAACATCCATTCCCCTTGTCAGAGAGTAGGTACCCCTGAATTAAAACTTTTCTCTCTTTTGACCCTTGTTTCTCCCCAGCTCACCAAAGCAGTGTAGCCAGCAGAGTCAGGCTGACTAGGGTCCGTTGCCTTCTGGATTAAATATTTCACCCGGCCCAGGTCTCCATTCAGGGCTGCTGACCAGATTCCTGTAGAAAGCCATCCAGGGCACTGAATAATGCTGAACAAATGGGAATTTTTAGTGCTTCCTTTACCTCTTGACCTCGGCTTTCAAAGCATCTGCTTGTCTATAAAATGGAGGATATCCGTTCCTTCCATTCCTTTAACAAATATTAATATTAACCTCCTCTGTGCCAAGAATTGTTCTGGGTGTTGGTGACACTATTGTGAACAAGACAGTAGGATTGGGCAGACAAAGAAATCCCTTCTTCCCACTTCAAACACAAAAATGTTGATAAAGTGATTTTGGTCCAGGTGCGGTGGCTCACACCTGTGATCCAAGCACTTTGGGGGGCCAAGGTGGGAGGACTACTTGAAACCGGGAGTTTAAGACCAGTCTGGGCAACATAATGAGACTGTCTCCATAAAAATATTGTTTTAAATCAGCTAGACATGGTGGTACATGCTTATTGTCCCAGCTGCTGAGGCATGAGGATCTCTTGAGCCCAGGAGTTCAAGGTTACAATAAGCTATGATCAAGCCACTATACCTCAGCCTTAAACCTCTCTCTCTCTCTATATATATATGTATATAAAATAAAGAAGAAAAAAAAGCCTGGAATATATGTGTAGGGTCAAAATTCAAAGCAGGTGGTGAAGCTATAGAATTCAAACAGCACTCAGAATTGGATATACATCTAGAGGCTTTGGTGCAAAAGCTTCAGCAGGGTCCAGAGTGAAAGCTGAAGGCCATGTGGATGGTGGGGAGCTAGAATAAGGTTCTGTGCGCAAAGTCAGGAGGCAGGAAGTACCATAGTACAGAGGAATTGGGACTGGAGAATCTCTACCCATCTGCCCCATAGATAGGCAGGAAGAAAGCTGCCATGTGTAGGAATTCATTTGGTCAGCAAATATTTACTGAATACTTACTATGGATGTGGCCCTAGAGATTTCCTATGTTCTACTACTAGAACTGCTATGTTCTAGACACTAGGGATCTGTCGAGTATAAAAGATCTACCCCCTAACTTTGGCCTTCTGGAGCTTACATTCTAATTAAAGGAGGAAGACAAGAAGCAAATACATACATTTGTTTATAAATGTATTGTCTACATAGACATACACGTTACATATTTATGCATACCATGTAAATTATGTTTTATATACATAATTTTTTTGTTTTGAGACAAAGTCTCACTCTGTTGCCCCAGGCTAGAGTGGTGTGGTATCAGCCTACCTCACAGCAACCTCGAACTCCTAGGTTCAAGCTATATTCTTGCTTCAGCCTCCCAAGTAGCTGGAACTACAGGTACATGCTTGGCTAATTTTTCTATTTTTAGTAGAGACAGAGCCTCACTCTTGCTTAGGCTGGTCTTGAGCTCAAGAGATCCTCCCACCTT